AATTTAAATGCGATTTAATTGCATTCTTTGATTATATATAATTGCGCCCATTTTAGAGAAATAACTGTTGATGTAATAATTCGATTCGAATCAATCTCTCACACGTGACATGGATTAGAGATGTACAAAAATATGATTTCTGTAGTTAAAAATAAAATGATGTATTGTCTGTAAATCCAATCGAAAATATTGATACGTTTTAGCGCACCATTAGCATGCGATCATCGGTCGGGAGATAATATGCGCACCGGGCTTAGGCAAATTAATAATCGGCCATTGTATTTTATGGGCTTCGACGAGCGGAAAGGGCTAATAATAAATGCCGAAGCCGGAAAAACGTAATTACACGAGGCACCTGCACTATTTGGCTTATAAACGCATCACACAGATGCTAATAATAATATTAATAATATTATGCCTTTGTTACAAAGTCTCGTTTACAATTTGCGATGGAATCTTTCGCGTCAATAATATACGAAAAAAATGAAAATTATTTTTCTATCGTTCGTTTATTAATATAGAAAAATAAAATTTCTTAAACGCTCTTGTCTCGTTGCTTCAGAGATTTCGAGATAATTCGAGAATTCAAGAGAACGTAAACAACAGAAATGCTAATTTGATATACAGGGTGTCCCAGAATTACCGTATCACACGTTAATGGGAGATTTTAATGTTCCCAATTTTGGAAATCATGTATCTTTGTAACTAAGCCTTAAATTAAAATTCTATTAAAGTAAACTTTACCTGAAATTAACTAAAAAATGTAATTTTGTTAATAATAATTTATTTCTACAAGGCTTAGTTTATTAAAAAAGCTTTTATTTTTAATCGTTTATAACTCAAAAATTATTAGTGCCTGGACATTTTCACTGAGGAAAAATCGTCTCCAAATTGCTCAGGAATCTCCCATTAACCCGTGATACGGTAAATCCGGGACACCCTGTGTACCGAAATAAATTATCCACGCTTTCTGCCGACGAAATAATAAGACGGACCGGATTTATATTCGCTCTCGTTACAGTCTCGATACAGTCTCCTTCACCGTCGTCGATCTTCTCTTAATGCGAGAATGAGAGAAGAGCGAGACCCCGAACTATCTCTCAAGACACGATCCACTCTCTCCGCTGGCAATTTGTGTCCTGTCCGCGCGAGCGCGTTTGCCTGTGTGAGGATCATCCGATGTGAACTAACGTACGTGTGAGACGAGGTAATAAAAATATTACGAGGACCTCTAATCTTTCTCGTATAATGGTATCCATAATTCCTCGGCGCGCTGTGCAGTCATGATCGAGTCTCTCGCCCTCGCCTTTCAGCCCCTTACCATCCAAATCCCTGAACTCGCCTCCACGTGGCCTCCGCGGACCGGTGGTCGATGGTTTCCCGATTCTTCCGCCTTTCTCGCTCCCTCGTCTTTTCTCGCGCCGCGCCGTTTCGGGTCTCATCTATCGGCGGCAGGCATAAAGGAACGAGACGATAAGTTTTAACGTCGCCACCCACCGCGGTTATCTTTTTCGAACGATCTATCCTGCCTCCCTCCCTATCCGTCTTTCTATTTTCACGGTTACCCGCGCGAATTAAAGTCTTCCGTTATTACGATGAACCCTCGGATTCGCGATACGACCGCATTATCAGTGTAATCAAAAGGAAGGGACACATCAATCTTCTCTTATTAATACGCGTTAAGATTCGAGCCTTACGAGCGTTTACTCGGATGTATGTATGTGCTTCGAAGAATGGCGTCGATTAAAGGTCATATAGTTACAACGCAAAGAATTTTAGTATAGTGGCAATAACTAATTTCGAAGTTAAATCCATATATAACTTTCGCTACGAAAACTGATTGAAATATAAAGTTAAATTATATTTGCTCTTTTAAGCAGTCTTAGTGCAACAAGATCCTTTAATTATCAATTAAACTTTTTAAAGCAATGCGTAAACGCGTTTATGAAAGTTCCAGCTTCTCCTCTGAAGCGAAGTAGCTGCACGTGTCGGTTGTTCGCATGGGAATAACCGCTTCTAACACGAGAGCCGACATCGGCAATAGCGGGGTTAAAATGAAATAATAACAGTTTCGACGCAAAATTTGCCGAGTAAGCGCAAATATAAATGCAACGTCCACGGAAGTTCCAGAAAATACGCTAAAATTGCTCTCCGAGAAATTCATATTTTCTTAATAAAGGTGCATTAACGGAGGATAAAAATAGGTTCCGCGTCCATTTCGGGATTCTACATTCCGTATATCAATTTTGACCTTTCGATTCGATCATTCGTTTATATAAATATCTAAAAGAGCGAGAGAGAAAAGGTATGGAAATGAGCGCTAACTTTCGAGCCATCGTGTAGAATAAGACGGGATATTGCGATCGTTGTTGCATGCACGTTAAAGCAGTTTCAGCCAAATGAACTTGCATTCAACTTTCGGTTATTATTTCCTAACTTCCATTTCATCTAACCGCGTTCGGCGGTTCAACGGCCGCGCCTGATATCGAACGGAAGGAAACGTCTGATTAAATTGGCACTGCACTACGTGTTCGATACGCGTTTCGTCAATATGCACCGCGCCAATAAGCTTCGAGGAAGTTGTTTCATATTTAGACCTGGCGTGTTTCGCGCTCGCGGCTCCGACGCTTTAGGAGTCGCGCGTGCATTTTTCACCCTGACGGACATAAGATGCAGAAATGGGCGAAAATATATGAAGTACGCAGACCATGTTTATGTCGACTATAAAATTTTTTTATTAGTGACAGATCGCATCTGGTGCAATATCTCGCGTATATAAATATTTCAATTTTTTTTAAGGTAGAAATTAATTCGAAAAAGTCAAGAAAGGAGAGAATCGATAGAAAAAAAAATATATATATATATATAATATATAAATATGTTTTCTAAATCGGCCAACAGAGCCAAAGCACGAAAAATTAATTAATCGGAACTGTATCTTTTGGTTTGAGATCACAAAGTTCCATATATAAATTAATCTCCAAACTTACATATGGAGAAATAGGCGCGAAAAAAAAAAAAATATATATATATATATAAAATACGTATAAATGATTTGCACAATAATTTTGCGATTTTTCTACTTTCGCGACGTTATACGTATGCGTGCGTAGCACATATCTAAAAGTGGAGCATGATACCGCGCGAAGTCACGAAGCCTCCTCAGAGAGTAGACGAGCAGGAAGCGGCCGGAAGACGGAGGTGGATGAAACCTGCACTCGCGGGAATCCGAAATCACGTCCTTAATTTCCATAAAAGAGTGCAAGGACGCCTCACCCCCGACCGCTTCTTCAATCGAGAACGTCACGTGACTGCCGTCTCTCTCTCTTCTCGTCTACCTTCTTTATTCGCCTCCTCCTTTTTTTCCTCCCTCAAAGAACTTTGAGCTCGGTAAGCATATCTCTCTTGCCTGCTGCTGCATGTAACCCGAGCTCAGCTACTCACTCAGCACATTCTCGGCGAATCTTTCTTCCCCTTCTACCACTTTCTTAAGTTCTCGTTGCATTCGTTTAAGCTGACACACACGCGCGATGGTACCGTTTGACCGAAAAATTGCTCGCATAGTCAAAAGAACGAAATTCGAAATAAGAGAGCAAATTCGAGTGCGCAAGTTCTCTCGAAGAAAAAAATTGTATATAGTATTATAATTATATCTCGAATTTAATAAAATTTGACACATGTTGCGCTCACGTGACGAATTATTAAGGGAAAAAATGTACGAATAGTTGATCATTATACAGGGTGTCCGGTAACTAACGGATCAATGATTAAGGGCGGATTCTCTGGCCAATTTGGAGACGATTTTTCCTTAGCAAAAATGTTGAGAAGTCAATAATTTTCGAGTTATAAGCGATTGAAAAAAATGGGTTTTTTGAAAACTAAACGTTTTGGAGTTAAAAGTCTAACATAATTACATTCTTCAGTTAATTTCAGGTAGAGTTTGCTATAATAAAATTTTAATTTGAGGCTTAGTTATAAAGGTACATAATGACAAATATTGGAAAGTTGTAAAAATGATGACCTTTTTCGACATTTTCGCTGAGGAAAAATCGTTCCCAAATTGATCAAAGAATCCATTTGTAATCGTTGGTCCGTTAGTTACCGGACACCTTGTATAAAGCGATGTTAATAATAAAGCGATATTAATTAAATTACTCGCGTTCGTCTTCAAGGACCCATTACTGGCCGCACATTGAATAAAATTACATAGCCAGTGACCTTATTTAAGCCGTGCGTTGCGTGCAGCCGCACGCTCGAGTCCTTCGCCAACCGTGATTAAATTGCAACAACGTCAAATTGCATAACGGACGCGAAGCGTGAAGACGCCAACGGTGAAGAATATCTCGCCCAGACGGGCAATCGGTTTCTCTGCCGCGCGCGTATAAATTATTCTGCAAATTGATAAAATAGAATCCACTTACCTCTTCCTTCGTCTCGAGAGAGAAGAGAGAGAGAGAGATGGAGAGAGGGAGAAAGGAAAGCGCGAAAGTTGCAGGAGATAATTAATTAAGGATGAAACGTGGTCTCGCAGGCCGGGACATGAACTTCGAGCCTGTGTTCAACCCAGTTTTGTCCCGGATAATTTGTCAGCTTGCTCGAATTTTTGGGATCGAGCATAGTCCCGATGCTCGAGAGCGCGAAACTTTTGCCGAGCATCGTTGGAACTTTGACTTATCCTTGACGCACGTCGACAAAGAAATTTGTAATGCCTCAACTTTGAGAGGCGTGCCGAACCGAACTTCTCTCTAAGCGATTCAGCTGCGAAAATTAGCGAGTATTATCAAAATTTATTAATTTACCTCGAAGCAGTTGACAGTTGTAGCGTTGACATACGACGTCGTGCAAATTATATCGACAGGATTATCTCTCATCAGGATAAAACAGTATCGTAGGGAAGGGGATGCGATGGATCTGTGTAGGAGATAAAAAGAAAATATGATAATTAATCGATATAAATGATTCCATCCACAATAAAAAAAAATTGAAAGAAAAGCGGTCGCTGTTGCTGTACAATACAACGTCGCCTTTATTGTTACCGTTACTTATTAACCACAATTGTTAAACGTTCACTTTTTTTTTTCGATTTATAATACAACTTTTTATTCTCTATACACACGCTTTTTTTTCTTCTCCCTAAAAGAATTTCGTCTTTTTTTTTCACTGCTTAACGTCTATCTTAGGTAATGTCTGTTCGTGTACGTTTTTCCGTATCTGTGTTTTTTTTATATATACAAAAGCGCGCCGGATTATTCGTCCATCGGCTAAGCTAACGGAGAGAGAGAGCCCCAGCGTTCTCTTCCGCGCGGTTGATCTACCACATGACTTTATCCTAATCTCTTCCTTTTCCGAACCATTCCTTCTTTATTAACCTACTCCTCTCTATCCCGAAGCTATTACGAAATTGCTCTCCCCATCTCATCCCCTTAACCCGGTCTTCTTTCCATCCTCTCCGCCGTGATACCGGCTATTTCTTCTTCTGTATCTTCTCCACCGAGATCCATCACGATCGTCTCGTCTCTTCCCGCGCTTCCGCTTCATTTCCCCCATCCCATTTCCCTTTCCCGTATTTCGTAACGATTTTCGCTTTACACCGTTCACATCGTATCGCCATTGGCTACGCAGTAATTGACAAAAACCTGTCAAATAACTCGACCGATTTACAGGCTTATCAGCGGGATTAATTATATATTCAAGCAGTTTCGTTTTATTCGCACGATTTTCTTTTTTCTTTTTTTTTTTTTTTCACGTGAAAACAGAACGAGTCGCGTGTGATTATCAGCGATGGGCAGGTTAAAAAACATTGCGTCTCCTTTATCTCGGAGAAACAGTGTCTATTCTCACGCTATAGGAATCATTCTTCATTCATCGGCTGAAAGTATGCGCTATATTGTCCATTTTACAAAATTACACAGTTTAGTTTATAATAAGTGTATTATTTCATGTAACTTATACACGCCCATCCCTGATAACTTGTTTGTTACAAGTTTGTGTATGCGTAAACTTACAAACAGCATTAAACAAAAACTCGCATCCCACCGAGACATTTAAAGCTCCTTTGATCACTCGTGTTATGAGAATTACATTAACGCTGTAGCACAACACGCAGTGTGTCTTTGTTCTCTGCTACTCCGGAGAATGTGTGAAACAAAATTCAATCTTTACATGTATAGTTTTTTTTTCTCGTGATAAAAACTTATCTACAAATTATGTACGTGAAACCTTTTTGCACGAAAATGTTGGTTGTATTATACACTTGTTCGCGTCCGCTTCAGAGACACATAAGGGAATCGCCATGGTATTTTTATTTCGCGCGCCCCTTAGTGTTTACATACAACCATTCAAAAATTTACGTCCGTTTTTCCGCACAGCCACGGCAAACCCTTTTTCGCTCTCCCGGTTGTTTAAAAATCAGCTCTTTTCCTCACCCTCCTTGCGTATATCCGCGTCTATATGATATCCTCGTCTCGTTGCAGAACCTCCTTTAGAAAAAAGTCCCCTCTCGTGGTCCTACCGCGGGACGGCTTCAGACTACGTTGTGCGATAGGGAGCCGTCGTCCCGCCACGTGTTGGCTGGAAGGAAAAAGTCATCTTTTCAAATTCTCATCGAGACGATCCCTTCGCGTTGAAGCATGAAGTTTAGGGGCTCCTGGAGCCTGGCTAACATCGTGTGTTACCTCTATAATGCATGTCCTGCGCCATCGACGGACACTTGGCGTTTCCTCGCTGCCGGAATAACATGGAAAGTACATTTAAGTTGCAGCCTCGCGAGAGAAAATGCTGACGAGACTGATTCTAGTACTACAGTGTCGATATCGAGGTATTTTACACTGATATTTTCTAGTACTTTTCACATTACATGTCTAACAATTTCTTCAAAATGACTCGAAAAATACTAATAGCTTTCATTTCAAATTTATAATCGTTCGAAAAGAATTTAATTTTTTTTTCATAAAATAATTCTAAAAGAGAAGAGAGAAAACAAATATTTTTTGTATTACACGTGCAGGCAAAGTGGCACTTTGTGTGCGTGTTTTCTGTGCGGAAAGCGGCCAATTTCCCACGCCGCCATCTAGCGGCGACGCGGTGAGTAAATAAGCCGCATTCAAAGCCATTGCCTACGGCTGAGCCGCGTTCAAAGTCATTGCCCACGGCTAAAGCCGTGGGCAATACATTGCGTGCGATCGCCCACTTTGCCTGCACTTGTAATACAAAATAGTATACTATTTTCTACAACATTAAATAATATACTATTTTCTACAATGCTAATTCTTATACTGTTAATTTGATAATTGTTAAAAAATAATTTAGTTTATTTATAAATAAAATAATTTTAAGAGAAAGAGAGGAAAAAATATGAATATATTATATTCATATTTTTTTCTTATCGTCTTTGCAATGTGAGCATATTATTGCGATATCGCATTTACTCTATAGGTAGTATGCCAATTACCCTGATTGACACTACGCGTTCTTTGCACGAGAATATCGAATAACATAATCACAGTGTTATATTACCTTGGCAAAATCGATATTTGTTCGCACAGTTCTGTAATAAAGACCCTGCAACGGTCTGGAATTATTACCGAGGGGCGCTTTCGGCGTGCTGGCAGGGCCTTGCATTAATTTCCTTAGGGCGTACAGCTAATGACAGAGATAATGCACACCGTGAGAATAATGCGATTCGTTGATCGATCCGACAAAACTATCGCCGTCTTATCGCGCTTCGCGTATAACTTTTCGATTGCGATTGCGGGACACGCGAGCTCTCGAATCAGTCGGAATTTGGGGTGAGAAAAAAAAAGAAGGCGGATGTTTACCTCTCGTGCCGTGATATAAATTGGTTTGTTGAGAATCAGCCACACCGCCGTTTCCCAACAGCCTGGATGCGTCGTACTGCCTTCGTAAGTCATGTAACCGGTGGTTTCCGGAAGAAGGCTTCTCAGAGACAGGTAGCGGACAGGTGCGGTGTCACCTGAAAGATAAAATATCGACAAGAGTGTTAATCGGGGAGAGCGCTATTTAGATATCAGCGCTTTATATATAGATTTCGTTATCTCTCGCGGCGTAATGAGATTTTGTCCCGCTCGATGATATCGTTCGACAAGTTTGAGTAGTATAGATATTGATTATCGAATTTCTCACTAAGGATTTCCAAGGAGTATTCCGAGAATACAGTTGCAATTACTTTAAATCAAGCGAGATCAGTTAGTGATACTTTTAAGGCTCTTGAAGAGATTTTCAAGAATTAAATGCCCTTAAAAGTTTAATTAGACGTTAAGATTTCTGATAAGAGATCGTAAAGGAGAAATGTATGTACTCCTAAGGATTAAGAGATCCAGATTAAGAAGCAGGAGATTAAGAGGCGGTGTTAATGCAGCTGGTCCCCGCGCAAGTTCTGTACATTATGCAAAAATACCGATGAAATGATGTTGGTTCGCGCGAATTATAGATGCTACAATCGCGCGAGAGATATCGAAAGGCGAATAAAACTACTCCCCGAGGCATGATATTTCTGTTTAGCCGATTTTGCACCAGGCACATCAATAAGGTATTATACAGAAGGAAATCTCACGAAGCGATGAATTATTCCGTTTTCATACTGATCCGCCCTTCGTCGCCCTTTGACACTCCTACTTCTGCGTCGATTCGCAAAGAATTCAGCGACCGAGAAGAATCGTTTCGGAAAGAGAGCAACACGTTCCTATAAATTCAACCGATTACCCACGCGTGCGCGTGCGCGAGTCTCGTATTACTTTTATCGATAACAGGCACACATATATATATATATATATACAGGGTGTCCCAGAATTACCGTATCACATTAATGGGAGATTCTTGAGGCGATTTGGAGACGATTTTTCCTCAGCGAAAATGTCGAGAAAAGTCACCATTTTTTTAATGTTCCCAATTTTTGAAATCATGTATCTTTGTAACTAACAATAAGCCTTAAATTAAAATTCTATTAAAACAAACTTTACCTAAAATTAACTAAAAAATGCAGTTTTGTTAGTAATTTATTTTTACAAGGCTTAGTTTACAAAACAGCTTTTATTTTCAATCATTTATAACTCGAAAAATATTGGTGCCTGGACATTTTCGTTGAGGAAAAATCGTCTCCAAATCGCCTCAGAAATCTCCTATTAACATGTGATACGGTAATTCTAAGACACCCTGTATATATATATATATGCGGGGATTATGGAATAATCGTTAAAGCGTAAAAGGCAAATCACTCCGTGCATTCACGCTCTCGCGATACCGATCTTTCGCTCCGAAGAATCTACGACGATGCGGGAAAAGGGCATTTTTTTCAAATCCGCCTTTGAGCTTTTTGGCATTCTGCAGGTAGGCCGGAAAAACGACGGTGAATCCCCGGAAAGGGCGGAAAACGGGAGCGGGAGAAATCTCGAGCGATGATTGGCGCCGTACAAACATACGTAAATCGTGCAGAGTATATTTATGTACAATTTAAATATATGCAGTATTCCTCGTGTAGATATGAACACACGTATGGAGGAATGTTGGTGCGCGTCCAATTTGGTGTCTCATAATTCGATTCACGTTGGCAAAGTTTAACTCTTTTCCGTACGAATAATAAGAGAGACCGTGCGATTCCAAACTCGCATATTAAAATCTAACAAATGTATTTACGAGTTCGCCACTCTTTTTCGTAATGTCTACCGCTTCGCAAAAGCGTCATCGGCAAATGTCATTGCCATCTGAGATAATGGTGCTGCACTTAAGCCGTAATGCTCTCGCAAGTAATAATGCACCCGTTGATTCTGCATATTCAGGGAGTTATAATTTCGAACGCGTCGTGTAAATGTATCATATAACCTGTAGTAAATAGTAGAATTACAAGAACAAGCAATATGCGACGCGCTTGTAAGCCGTCACTCCACAAATATCTGCATCTCATGCAGAATGTGTATACCTAATGCATTATGCACTACCCTCGCGTAACTTTCCATCGACAGCGGAGGACTCGCGCGTTTCAACTCATGGAGCTGTCATTCGCAAACATAATTATATTTAAACAAACATGATTATCGTATAAAACGTGACAACTTGTAACGAATATGGAGAAAATCACAAAATAGTATAAACATTTTTTTCACATTTAAAAATAAATATGTAACAGCTCGAAAAAAATCCAGAAATATATATGCATAATAAATTCCTTCTCGCGAAAATATTCCAAATATAAATTTAAATAAATTCCGATTTCTAATTTTTCCTGAACAAATTTGCTGATTAGAAAAGATTTTTCGATACAATATTCTTGGAATATTAAATAAAAGTAATCTAAATAGAAAAACGTTGAGACAGCCCGATAGCTATACTTTAATTAAATATTTATATACGCGCGGCTGTCGAATTTTGACGAATGAAGCATCGGGACGAAATGAATGTTTCGAACGCCATCAACCATATATCCGAGATACGTGTCGACGGAATTTACTTTTGAAGAGAGCGAGCGATGGGTTTCGGGAGAGAGTGTATATACGGTAGGATGCGCGCCGTTCGTAACCGCCGCGAACGTCCAGAAGTGATTTGTATCTTTCCTACGTAACGCGCGCGAGGCGAAATCCAGCGTAAAAGGTCATCATTTCAGAATGCGCGGTGAAAATAAATCTTCTCGCTCCCGAATCGCGCGCAACCGGGGATCGTATTTATCGGACACACCCGGGAAGTATGTTTCACCTATGCGCGAAACCTTCGATTCCAAGTCCAGTATCTCTCGTGTGTTTCTCTCTCTTTTTTTTTTCTTTTTACGTACATCTCGATATTTATTTTTTTTTCACCCGCCAAAATTATTCATCACTCTCGCGCGAGAGATGATAAGCCGTTTATCAATCGACGATGCTTTGGACAATTTCCGGGAGGAAGCGGAAAAGACGCCGCAGTACACCATCGTCGTGTACATCTCTCTCTCTCTCTCTTGGGTACGTACATACATAAGATTACGCGAATCTCGTTCCGGTGGACGAGATGAATCCGGCTTGAACCGTCTGTACACACCGCTCGCGCCAGTTTATCCACAAATAAAGGGATACATATAATCCACGATAGCTCGGTCCTACCGTAGCTAACATCTAAACACCGGGCTCCGCAACATCCGTCGTATATACTGCATCTATTTCTTCGGATCCGGATGACGTCACGAGTGCGCTCGACCGTTCCTCCACGCGAACGGACACAATCTACCGTGTATTCGCATTTTACCAGAATACGGTTAAATTTACTCAGATCGGATAGATTACGCGCATTATGCGCGCTACATCAAATTTATCATCTCTCGTTTCCTTTTGTTCCATATATTTATATATTATATTTGCGAGTAAAAATATATATAATACGCACAAAAATAACATTTTGAAATTGTTAAAAAGCTTTTCTCTCATTCTTTTATATATTTTTTTTTTATTTGATACCGCATATTCGGAAGATATAAAAATGACAGCGAAGAGTTAAACGCGCGTAAACGGGAAAATGAAAGAAAAGCTACACCAGCTGTCAAATCTGAGAGAGGGCGAAATCTAGCAGTAGACGCAGACGTATGGCAAATTGCCTCTCGACACAACGGAAACACTCTAAATGCGTTTAACCGAGTCGTAATGAGTCCGTTTGAAGTAGTAGCGTAACGCGCAGCCGACGATTTCGCCTCCGCGACGCGAAAGTTCGCCGGTAGTGTATAAGCGCTCGACAAAGTCGTGAGCCCTTCATCAAAATGTCACTACATATACATACATATATATATATCCATACATACGTTGCCGTCTATTTCTCGTATTGAGTCCGTGGCATTAAAGATAGGGGCGAAAACGCGCTCTCTCGCAAATGGCAGATCCGGCACAAGGGAGCTGTCGTTTTGCCTCGCACAGAGGCAAAACGATCCTCGAACCAGGGGATGCGTCTGTGTCGGTGGCTTCCGATGATATCCCCTCGTCTCTATTCGTGCTTTCGGCTCTCTTTCGCGCCGAGGATATTCTTAGGACGCCGCCGCCATTCACCGAGCCGCGACGGCAAAAAGTAGAAGCTGTCAAGCTTTTCTCCAAGCGTTTCACGTCGCCGATCTTCTTCTTCTATCTTCCCCCTCTTTTTCCACCCCCTTCTATTCGCCATTTGATGCTCCCTTTTCGCGCCCTTCAACATCGACGAGTACCGACCGCGTCTTATACAACCCTGTGTGCGTGTTTTATTTTTATTTATCGCCTCGTCCTGATTTCATCCCTTGCCGACGAACGAGGTCGGCGAACCGGGGGTGGAAGAGCAAGGGTGGGGGATAAATGGTGCTTGAGGAAATTGGGAGAGAAAGAAATCCGGCGAGATGACAAGTAATAATAACGAGGGGAAGGGAAATATCAACGGCTTCGTATCGTCCGCGGAAACGAGAGACGTAGGGATGGAGGGTGGAATAAGGTCCTCTTCTGGTGATTAATGAAATGCATTAACTCCTTCCTCCCCTTCTGGAAAGAGAGAAAAGACCGCCCGGTCTAGGTGTGCTTGCTATTGATACATTTTCCTCGCGCACACAAGTGAGATTAAACGAGGCAAACGCGGTTGTATTGTACAGGGTGTCCGGTAACTAACGGACCAACGATCACAAATGGATTCTTTGGTCAATTTGGGAACGATTTTTCCTCGGCGAAATTATCGAAAAAGGTCATCATTTTTTACAACTTTCCAATATTTGTCATTATGTATCTTTATAACTAAGCCTTGAATTAAAATTTTATTATAGTAAACTCTACCTGAAATTAACTGAAGAATGTAATTATGTTAGACTTTTAACTCCAAAACGTTTAGTTTTCAAAAAACCCATTTTTTTCAATCGCTTATAACTCGAAAATTATTGACTTCTCAACATTTTTGCTAAGGAAAAATCGTCTTCAAATTGGCCAGAGAATCCGCCCTTAATCATTGGTCCGTTAGTTACCGGACACCCTGTATATCGCGAGAAACTGCTAC